TCTTCTGCCAAGCAAAGTCAGTGGGGAAGCCAGATTCACTTAACAACAGAAATTTGAGGCTGAATTGTCATAAGTTGAAGACTACCTGTATTAAAGAATTAGCCGAAAGTCTTACGTTAACGTAGGCATGGATGTCTCGGATTAAAGATCCTAATTACAAAACTAGGCATGTAACAGCATGGACGTCTCTAACCAGTGTCCCTCAACGTGGCAACTTTTAGACCTGTGGACTTCCACTCCCAGAATTCCCCAGCCAGCATAGGCTGGCTAGGGAATTCTGGGAGTGGAAGTCCACAGGTCTGAAAGTTGCCACGTTGAGGAACACTGCCTTTTATGAACAGACTTGGATAAATCCTGAATGTTTAAGAAGGACTTTTAATTTCCCCACCACGGCTGCCACTGTCTCCTCTTACGAAGAAATCTGATTTTGGGGCAAAAAAAAAAAAAAAAATATGCATTACTGCTACAACTCTTCCTCCTGGATTTTATTACTTCAACAAATAACAATTCAGAGCGAAACAGAGCATCTGTCAAAGCCTCTCCAGAAAGCACTAGCTTGGCACAGGAGCTGCGAATGGGAAGCCGTTCGAATCTTTCCTCCAGCGGGAATGGATGGAGCTCCTGGAAGCAACAGGAATGGGACCGGCCTTCCTTAAAATGGCAATAAGGAGAGATGAAAGAGAACATTACTGGCTCAGGGCTAAACTGTGCTCAGGGGCCCTTGGTGCTCTCTGAGCTTGGTGGTTTTCTTGCAGATGTTTCATGACCCAGCTAGGGAACATCATCAGTGCTAGAAGGGAGGGGTGTTTGTGGAGAGGAGGAGGAGGAAGAGGAGGAGGAGGAGGACAGTGGTGTCCTTGGTGCTCTCTGAGCTTGGTGGTTTTCTTGCAGATGTTTCATGACCCAGCTAGGGAACATCATCAGTGCTAGAAGGGAGGGGTGTTTGTGGAGAGGAGGAGGAGGAAGAGGAGGAGGAGGAGGAGGAGGACAGTGGTGTCCTTGGTGCTCCCTGAGCTTGGTGGTNGAAGAGGGAGCCAAGCTATTCTCCAAGGCACCTGAAGGCAGGACGAGAAGCAATGGGTGGAAACTGATCAAGGAGAGAAGCAACTTAGAACTAAGGAGAAACTTCCTGACAGTTAGAACAATTAACCAATGGAACAACCTGCCTCCAGAAGTGGTGAATGCTCCAACACTGGAAGTTTTTAAGAAGAGACTGGACAGCCATTTGTCTCAAATGGTGTAGGGTTCCTGCCTGGGCAGGGGGTTGGACTCGATGACCTCCAAGGTCCCTTCCAACTTTATTATTATTATTATTAAGGTGAGATCTGTGAGAAAAACCCACAAAGTGATATATTAAAAGCAACATTCAGCACTCCTCTCCCCCAGTGTCCCCGTGTCCGTTTGAAGCCCAGCCAATCCACAGGTGGCATGGAGTTTTGGTAACGGGTCTTTTCGGGGGGCTCCTCACGGTCTCTCTCACTTTTGATGTCTCCTGGCTCCAAGCAAACCATCTCTCAGATAAGGGCCAGACATCCCACCCCTGGGGGAGGGGCGGAGGGCATCAGCAGACAGCGCAAAGTGTCCCCCAAAGGCTCCCCCCTCCCAGCAGAATAGCAGGCCACAAAGAAAGGCTGCAGAGAATGGGAAACGGGTATACGCATGAAAGACATTTCTTTGGGGACCTGACATGTTCATTTAGTGACCGTTCGAAGTTGGCACCGGACAAAGTGAGTTATGACTATTTTTCACACCGTTGCAGCATCCCCATGTGATCAAAATTCGGACATTTGGCAGCAGACTCACATTTGTGACGGCTACACTGTCCTGAGGTTACGTAATAAAGTTTTGCAACCCTACTGACGAGCAAAATCCACGGGGAAAGCCGGATTCACTTAACAACCAGGTTACTAATTTAACAACTGCAGTGATTCACTTAGCAACTGTGGCAAGAAAGCTTGGAAAAGGGGGCAAAACTCAACAACTGTCTTGCTTAGCAATGGAAATTTTGGCTGTAAGTGGTTGTAAGCCGAGGACTGCCTGTACACAACCGGCAGATTTGGTAAAAAAAATTCACTGGCAGATTTAGCGATGCCGCTTACAACTTTGAGAGGAATGTGTTCGTTCCCAAACAGAGAAGAGCGTAACCCGTGTCTCCTGATCCCCTCTCCCAACCGTAGGAGTCCATGCGCTGCTGCGCAAGCTACAATTCCTGTTCGAGCTTCCGGCCCGTCTCACCAAGTGCGTGGAGCTGGCGGCCTACGGGCAAGCGGTCCGGTACTACAGTAAAGCCCGCTGCATCCTCCACCAGTACCAACAGATGCCCTCCTTCAGGGGCATCCAGGACGACTGCCAGAAGATCATGGCTGACCTCGCTCAGAAGCTGCGGGAGAAATTCCGGTAGGCGTCCAGAGGAGGCGGTGAGACTAGGGGAGCCGGTTGGCCCGGAAGGTCACTGAATTCGCAGAGGGCTAAAACAGCCCAGCCACAAGGTTTTGCAAGAGAAGCACAGGCGGCCCTCGGCTTGGGCGGCCTTCTGACCAGCAAAGTCAGTGGGCGAAGCCGGACTCACTTAACAACCGGGTTACTAATTTAACCGCTGCGGTGATTCCCTTAACAACTGTGGCGAGAAAAGCCGTGAAATGGGGCAAAACCCGCTTAACAAAGGTCTCACTTAGCAACATAAATTTTGGGCTCAATTGTGATCGTAAGCCGAGGACTACCAGTATAAAAAGGGCCGGTGACATAAATAAATGTTAAATAAAATGTACTTGCAAAGTACATTTCTTAATTAAATTGCCTGAAACAAATCAATTTGGGGAAGTGATGGTTACAACCAATTGTGGTTGTATGTTGAGGACAACCTGTAAATTGCAGGGTGTCGACTTATGACCGCAACTGAGTCCAAAATTTATGTTGCTAGGTGAGATTTGTTAAGTGAATCTTGCCCCATTTTATGACCTTGCTTGCCACTGTTGTTAAGTGAATCACTGCAGTTAAGTTGGTAACATGGCTGTTAAGTGAATCTGGCTCCCTCATTGACTTTGCTTGTCAGAAGGTCACAAAAGGGAGTCACGTGACCCCGGGACACTGCAACCGTCATAAGTACTAGTCAGTTGCCAAGCGTCTGGATTTTGATCCTGTGACCACAAAGATGCTGCAATGGTTGGAAATGTGAAAAACAGTCATAAGTCATTTTCTCCGGTGGTGTTGTAACTTCGGTCACTAAACAGACTGTTGTAAGTCGAGGACTCCTTGTAGTTGAGCCTTCTGATGAGTCCCCCTGTTTTGTTTTGTTTTGTTACTCCAGGGACGGAGGCTCCGGTGCCAAGGACTTAGCCGAATGCGTGGAACTGCTGCTGCAGCTGGGCGAGCCGGCGGAAGAGCTGTGCGACGAATTCCTCTCCCACGCCCACTGCCGGCTGGAGGCTGAGCTGCGGAACCTGGAGGCCGAACTGGGAGACGGGCTGCATTTCGGGTCGGCTGGCCCAGCCACCGACATCCTTGAATTCACGGACCGCGGGTGCAACAGCTTCGTCAGCAACATCTGCCTGGTGATTGCCTCCTACCGGGAGCTGTTCATCAACCGGGAGGGCGCCCAGGGCATCGCCCACATGGCTCACGACAAGCTGGTGGCCTTCGTCGATGGCCTGATGGAGCGCTACTTCGCCCTGGTGGAGAGGCGCATTCAGCTGGAGAAAGGGGTGGGCGACAACTCGCTGCTGGTGCGGGCGCTGGACCGCTTCCACCGGCGCCTGCAAGCCCTGGCCAAGCTTTTGCCAGCCTCGCAGGCAGCAGCCGTAGGGACGGAGATCGTGGTGCGGGCAGCCAAGGAGCGCATCCGTCAGTACCTGCAGGCCTTGGAGAGCTTCTACCTGGACTGCCTGACGGACGTGCGCCAGTCCTTGGCTGCCCCTCGCCTGGTGGGGAAGGATAACCCCAGCCTGGCAGAGCTGCTGGGCACCATCTCGTCCTCCATCCTCAACCAGATCAAGTCTGTCCTCACCTACGTTCACCTCTTCACAGCCAAGGACATCAACTTCTCAAACAAGCCGTACTTCAAGGTAAAAGAAGGATTTGAAAATGAGAAAGCACTCTCTCTCATCCTTAACCGCTTTTAAGACGTGTGAACTTTCAACTCCCAGAATTCCCCAGTCAGCATGGCTGATTCTAGCCCAGGGGTCTCCAAATCTGGCAACCTTAAGACTTGTGGACTTCAACTTCTAGAATTCCTCAGCCAGCATGGAAGTTGAAGTCCACGTATCTTCAGGCTTGGGAAACGCTGCTCTAGGGTCAGGTTGAGTAGATGTTGCCCTATGAAGCATCCATCTTTATCTTTGCAACTATAAAACCAGTTTTTCTGATGTTTTCCCCTGTTGTCCCTCCTTCTTTCCTTAATTTAATTCTGGCAGTTGAAGTTCACACATCTTAAAAGCTGTCAAGGTTGAAAAATTAGACTCTACAGAACCAGATTAAGGCCAACTGATTTCCTAAGCTCACCTCCATAATGATCCCTCAGTCCTTCCATTGCTCGATAAGACATTAAAATCCAGCAAATGCTGAATAATTTTTAAATTCAGTTTTCTTCCAAGCCGTGTCCCAGGCTGCACTCTATATTGACATTAAATAGAAACTTCTTTTTAAAAAATGTATTTATTTAATAAATGCTAAATAGCAGTAAGCAGCGTGGGCGAATTATAGACAATAGACAAGTGTAAGCTTTCAACCCTATTCAATGCATTTTTTAAAAATTATATTGTAAGGGGGCAAAATGCAAATGCAAAAAAAATAAGGCGTAACTTCTTGCTGACTTTCTCAATTCCTGTAGTATCAACGGAAACCAGGGAGTCAGTCAAAAAGAGTTGGAGTCCCTGAACTTCCACACACCCGTCGTACGACTGACCCCTTAAGACCCTCAACTTCAGGTGTGTAGATTTTCAACGGTTCCAACTGTTTGTGACTTACCCGACAACCGGGACGACATTATCATAGCAGAGAAGCCTGCAGTGCTGGGATAGAACATAAACGTTAAAGTACAGGTAGTCCTCAACTTACAACCACAATTGATCCCAAAATGTATGTTGCTGAGAAATTTGTTACGTGAGTTTTGCCCCCATTTTACAACTTTCCTTGCCATATTTGTTAAGTGAATCACTGCAGTTGGTAAATTAGTCACCCGGTCGTTAAGTGAATCTGGCTTCCACCTTGACTTTGCTTGTCAGGAGGTCGCCAAAGGGGATCACAGGACCCCAGGGCACTGCAGCCGTCATAACTATGAGTCAGCTGCCAAACATCCGAATACAAATCACTTGACCAGAGGGATGCTGCAACGGTCGTAACTGTGAAAACTGGTCATAAGTCACTTTTTTCAGCGCCGTTGTAACTCCGAACGGTCACTAAAACTGTTGTAAGTTGAGAACTACCCGTTCGGCCGATTCTGCTCCTAAAAGTAAACATGATTTTCTACCCTTTTGAGGCCTGGCAAATCCAACCCCGTAAAATCGGTTTAACTCTCCGTAAAGAAGGAGGCAGAGTCTTTCCTCCCACTGAAAAGAAACATTTTGGGAAAGGCACAAAGCCAGCTGGATGACCTCCAGCCAGTCCCTCTCTCTCAGCCCTAAGGAGGAGACAATGGCAATCCCCTTCTGGAAAAAAAACCTTGCTAAGAAAACTGCAGAGACCTGTCCAAACAGCCAACGTTGACTTGAAGGTGCCAAAAAAAAAAACCAGAATAAGTCTCGGCTCGCTCTGACCCGGATTCCGTCTCCAGCCTGCTGTGGGGGGAGCTGGCCACCCAGTAATCCCTCCTCTTGCTCCGTTGTAACTGGCCGCATTTTATAGTGTTGCCCCCCTAGTGCAGTGATGGCGAACCTTTTAGAGACCGAGTGCCCAAACTGCAACCCCAAACCCACTTATGCATCGTCAGGTGCCGGGTGGGTGTGGCCCATTGGGTGGACGTGGCTGCAGTGGTAACGGCAGACTGGGTGGGACTAAAAAGTTCAGTCAATCAATTCCAACTTTGCAAGATCTTTTTTTTCCCCGTGAGAAGTTGAAATTGACTGATTGATTGAACCTTTTTTTTTTTTTTGCGCATGGCAGCGGAAGCCTAAAGCGAAAAGGTTTTATAAAACCCAGCTGAAGGCCTAGGACTGGGGCGACGGTGCGTGTGCCCACAGAGAGGGCTCTGGGTGCCGCCTCTGGCACCTGTGCCATAGGTTCGCCACCACTGACCTATAACATTTCAGACAAATGGCTGTCCAGTCTCTTAAAAGTCTCCAGTGATGGCGCACCCACAAAGGCAAATTTCCTTTATCCCCCAATTTGGACCGTTAGGAAGCTGATAGACAGATGCTGTTGTTCTGATGGTGGACATACTTAAAAGTAATTGGATGGTTAAATAAATATGCAATTCTCAAACTTCGTTCAGATGATCTCGGGTCCTGGAGTAAGGCAGCTAAGAGTTCCCAATTGTTAAGATGTGGCAGCAGAAGCCTAAAGCCAAAAGGTTTTCTAAAACCCAGCTGAAGGCCTAGGACTGGGGCGACGGCGCGCGTGCCCACAGAGAGGGCTCTGAGTGCCGCCTCTGGCCCCCGTGCCACAGGTTCGCCACCACTGCCCTAGTGTGTCCCTTTTATTTTTCTCTAGGGCGAATTCTGCAGCCAGGGTGTCCGGGAAGGCCTCGTGGTCAGCTTTATCAAGTCTCTTTGCCAGATCGCCCGGCAGTTCTGCGAGAGCCCGGGTGACAAAGGAGGGTCCAGCCCCCCAGCTCTGTTGCTGCTCCTCTCCCGCCTCTGCTTGGATTACGAGACGGCCACCATCAGCTACATCCTCACCTTGACCGATGAGCAGTTCCTGGTGCAGGTAAGGCCGAAGGCTGGTGTGGGGGTGGAGACCAAACCCAGAAGTTAAAACCTGGCAGGCCTCGTTTTCTTCTATCTCAAACCTCATCAGAACCAAATTCTGGTGAGCAGAGGAGGAAAAAAATGGGGTGTGATGATGCAGCATATTCCTGGAACTGCAGACCCCACACATCAGGAAGTCTAATTCATTTCGGCGCTAACACTACATGCTACAGCAAGTCCTTGACTTAGAATTGCAATCGGGACAGGAATTTTGCTCCTAAGTCGGGACAGCCGCAAGTCGAGGCATCCATACGACCAGACCTATTTTGACAGCAGTCATTAAGGGAATAACAGAGTCGTAAATCCAAATCCATTCTGCTTGAGTGCCGGAAACGGCAAAAAAAAAATCTCGACAGTCACAAAACTACAGGCAGACCTCGTCTTACGACCACAATTGAGCCCAAAATTTTTGTTGCTAAGTGAAACATTTGTTAAGTGGGTTTTGCCTCATTTTACGACTTTTCGTGTCACCGTTATTAAGTGGATCACTGCAGTGGTTAAGTTAGTCACACGGTTGTTCAATGAGCATCAGGGAAACTCTTCCAGATTTTCAGAATGAGGCAGAGACGTCCAAATCTGCTCTCTGCTAGTACCCCATGACCCCGCTGACAAGGAAGACCTGTGAGGAAATGAATCAACATTTTATTAAAATGTGCGCGTTTTTGTGACCTGCAACTTACAAAAAGTTTGCCTTTTAATAACATTGTTAGTCAGAAATGTTGCTACCATTATAGACTTAATGTGGCTCTCCTGTAACATCTACAATAGCATTTCTCAACTTGGGGAACTTCCCACTGTGGAATCCAACTCCCCAAATTCTCAATAGTGCCTCTGCTGGCTGGGGAATTCTGGGAGTTGAAGTCCACCCACCTTAAAACTGCCAAGGCTGAGAAACACTGATTAGACCAGGGGTCTTCAAACTTGGCCCTTTTATGACTTGTGGACTTCAACTCCCAGATTTCCTCAGCCAGGCATGCTGGCTGAGGAATTCTGGGAGTTGAAGTCCACAAGTCATAAAAGGGCCAAATTTGAAGACCCTTGGATTAGACTTGTCATGTTTTAACATGACTGCAAAACTTCCAAACTATAAGGGAAATCCCAGGTTATGCTGGTCTATGATCATAGTGAAGATTTGGTTTGTTTTGACTAGGTTTGCCATAAAGCCAAAAATCCATTGAGAGAAGAAGTGTAGAATAAAATAATTTTGCTCCCCGATCACTGCTGATCGGATGCACAAACATCTTCTAATGGGGGGGGGGGATTTCTAACTATTATGCAACCTCCCTTCAGTTTATTATTATTTTTTTAAATAAAGCCACAGCAAGCGGATGACAGGAGAAGGAATACATGTTGTACACAACGCCACTTTTGCACAATTTGTCCTAGGAGTTTCCTTGTTGCGGTACGCTGAGTGTTGCTTGCGCCACTGCACACGATTGCCTCCTGCAATAGCCAAAGATGCCACTTCCTGCTCTTCAGCTGTGGGGGGAACCCCAAGGAAAAGCCCGGAGTGGGTGCAGCTTCTGAGCGGAGCCCCTTCTGAGCACGCTCTCTTCCGAATCCAGATTGGGCAGACAAAAAAGTTGAACACAGGCAGTCCTCGACTTACAACGATTTGTTTAGTGACCGTTCAAGCTTACAAACGGCACTGGGAAAAAAGTGACTTAGGACCGGTTTTCACACTTACGACCTTTGCAGCATCCCTACAGTCACGTGATCAGAATTCAGACGCTTGGCAACTGACTCGTACTTGTGACCGTTGCTGATGACGTGATCCCCTTTTGCCAAGAAGACGGTTCGTTTCAGTCACCCCTTCGGTCTAAGTGAATTGTTGTCTTTAAACTCCGACTTAACAGTATTCAACTTCTGATGGACATAATTTCTTAATCGGCTTTCAGAATGCAATTGCATCCGTACCTACAGAGCCTAATTTCTAGGATTAATGTTTTGATCCGTACATTGTCGTACCTGCAGAGATTGGTCACATCCTCAACGTGGCACCTTTTAGACCTGTGGACTTCAACTCCCAGAATTCCCCAGCCAGCATAGGCTGGCTAGGGAATTCTGGGAGTTGAAGTCCACACGTCTGAAAGTTGCCACGTTGAGAAACACTGCCTTTTATGAACAGACTTGGATAAATCCTGAATGTTTAAGAAGGACTTTTAATTTCCCCGCCACGGCTGCCACTGTCTCCTCTTATCTAGAAATCTGACTTTTGGGCAAAAAAAAATCTGCATTACTGCTACAACTCTTCCTCCTGGATTTTATGACTTCAACAAATAACAATTCAGAGTGAAACAGAGCATCTGTCAAAGCCTCTCCAGAAAGCACTAGCTTGGCACAGGAACTGCGAATGGGAAGCCGTTCGAATCTTTCCTCCAGCGGGAATGGATGGAGCTCCTGGAAGCAACAGGAATGGGACCGGCCTTCCTTAAAATGGCAATAAGGAGAGATGAAAGAGAACATTACTGGCTCAGGGCTAAACTGTGCTCAGGGGCCCTTGGTGCTCGCTGAGCTTGGTGGTTTTCTTGCAGATGTTTCATGACCCAGCTAGGGAACATCATCAGTGCTAGAAGGGAGGGGTGTTTGTGGAGAGGAGGAGGAGGAGGAGGAGGACAGTGGTGTCCTTGGTGCTCCCTGAGCTTGGTGGTTTTCTTGCAGATGTTTCATGACCCAGCTAGGGAACATCATCAGTGCTAGAAGGGAGTTTGTGGAGGGGAAGGAGAAGGGGAGAAGGGAAGAGGAGGAGAAGGTATAAAGGAGGAAGACAACTATTGGTCCTTGATGCTCTCTGAGCTTGGTGGTTTTCTTGCAGACGTTTCATTACCAAACTAGGTGACATGCTCAGTGCTAGGAGGGAGTGGGTTTGTCTCTCTCTCTCTCTTTTTGTATTAGTCGCTTGCTCTGTCAGTTTTGTTGAGGGTGTTCTTGATGTTTCCAGCTCTCTATTAACACTGAAGTAACTGCTGCCTTCCTGATGCATTGGGCTTCAGGCTCCAATCTCCCCTGCCAGGATGATGGGAGGCGAGGTCCAGAAGATCTCCAGGAAAGGGGATGCTGTTTAAAATTCCGGGGGGTGAGCCAGGCTATCCCTTCTCACTGGGTCTTGTCCCTCCACCAGGACCACTCCCCCGTGACGCCGGTCACCGTGCTGTGTGCCGAGGCCAGGGAGGCTGCCCAGAAGCTGCTGAACCATTACGTGAAGGTTCAGGGGCTGATCATCTCTCAGATGCTGCGCAAGAGCGTGGAGACGCGCGACTGGATCTCCACCATCGAACCGCGCAACGTCCGTGCCGTCATGAAGAGGGTGGTGGAAGACGCCACCTCGATTGACGTGCAGGTGAGGGCAGGGAAGGCCCAGCCAAGCCCCGGATTTTCCTGGGAAGAAGTTGAAGAAGCTGCTTAGGGCAGGGGGCTGTCTATAACCATTTGTTGCTCTAGTGAAGCATGTTGTAAGGACCCACCCCACTTTACATCTCAAGAAGACAGAACTCTTGGAATAGCTCTTCCAACAGGCATCTTTATTAAGAGAAGATGGTTGCAGGCATTCTAGACAGGATCTGAGGGGCCAACCCCTACCATTCAAGGTTTTAAGTGTTCCCAAGCAGCCCCCCACCCCACCGTCCTTCCAGCGACGATCCCAGGCGTTACATTTCCACCCCCTTTTCCTCACAGCCGGCAGAAGGGAGACTTCAGAGAGTAGTAGATGAAAGCTGATGGGCCATATTGTTATGGTCAGTCCTCTTGGTGAGAATCCACATTCAGTCCCTTTGAAGTTGTAAGGAAGGAAGTGAGAGCCATAAAAGCCCTTTGCTCATCCCCCTTCCCCTTCGTAGTATGACAGAATCCAGAGAGGGCAGAAATGGGGTTTTCCATAGTCGATAACTAGAATTGAAATATAATTGGATTCTGACACACGTCTTGGAAAAATCTCAGGCCAGGAATCTCCTTTGGCTAGCTGACTAAGCAGGATGGATGAGACAGAAGCTGAAGATGGCAGATCTGACAGCTTGGGGCAGCCTCCAGTCAGCACTGGGCTGCCCCTGCCCGGCCTTACTAGCAACTCGCATTTCCCTGCCGTGGTCTCCTCTCACAGGTGGGCCTGCTCTACGAGGAAGGGGTGCGGAAAGCTCAGAGCAGCGATTCCAGCAAACGAACCTTTTCCATATCCAGGCAGCAGAGCCGCTACGCACCCAGCTATACCCCCAGGTGAGTCGAAGGAAGAGGCCGCCTAGCAAGTGGGGTGCAGGAGTTACGTCCTCCGTGTGAAACGCCTGCAGACGCTCTCGCAAGGAGAGTGGCTTTGACCACCACGGCGGCTAAGGGGAGAATAGCAGAATACAGGTAGTCCTCAACTTGCGGCCAAAATTTCTGTTGCTAAGTGAGACATTTGTTAAGGGAATTTTGCCCCATTTTACGACCTTTCTTGCCTAAGTTGTTAAGTATGCTGGGGTCACGTTGATCTCCTTTTGTGATCTTCTGACAAGCAAAGTCAATGGGGGAAGCCAGATTCACTTAACAACCGAGTTACTAATCAACGTCAGTGATTCGCTTAACAAACGTGGCAAGAAAAGTTGTGAAATGGGGCAAAAGGCACTTAACGTGTTCTCACATAGCAACATAACCTCTGGGCTCAGTTGTGGCAGTTAGTCAAGTGTTCCCAAGGGCCTGAAAAAAGCATGGCTTTTAAAAGAACTCTTGGGGGTCACCAGAAAAAGATCCTTAGTTACACAGAGAAACAAGTGCATAGTTGGTAGATCAGACTGTGAGGTCCTGGCTGCTCTCTGAGCTTGGTTATGTCCTTGCAGACTTTTCATGACCAGCTAGGGAACATCAGTGCTAGAAGGGAGGGGGCTGCAGAAGGGAGAAGAGGAGAAGGACTGAGGGGTCCTGGGTGCTCTCTGAGCTTGGTTGTGTCCTTGCAGACTTTTCACGACCCAGCTAGGGAACGTCATCAGTGCTAGAAGGGAGCTTGTGGAATGGAGGAGAAGGGGAAGACCGCGGGGTCCTTGGTGCTCTCTGAACTGGGTTGTTTCCTTGCAGACTTTTCATGACCCAACTAGGTAACATCATCTGTGCAGATCGGGGTAGATCAAATGATTTAAACTAATCGATTATGTCTTCTCTCCAATTGCGGCCAGTGCCCCCATGGACACCAATTTGCTGAGCAACATCCAGAAGCTTTTCTCGGAGCGGATCGATATCTTCAGCCCCGTGGAGTTTAACAAGGTGAGGGCAAGTGGGCTGCAGGGAGCCCAATTTTTCTCTTTTCTTCTCTTCGCCCAGCAATCAGTCAGAATAGAGCTGGAAGGGACCTTGGAGGTCTTCTAGTCCAGCCCCTTCAGAAGCAGAAACAGTGGGTTGGTTTGAGCATTGGCTTGGAGAGCTTTTAGCAGGAAGGAAGTGACAGGCCTCCAAGATATTAAGGTACTTAGAATCGTAGTGTCAGGCCTGCCCCCGTCTGATCCCTTAGGGAAGAGAAACCCTCGACTCCCATTTGGTTGACGTGAAAGCTACTTTTACTAAGAGATGCTGGTTGCAGTAAAGTCAGGGAGAATCTGAGGTTTCCCGCTCATCAGTAGAAAACTATTTCCTTCTGTCCTGTCCCTCCCTGTGACCAGTCTAGTGTGAAATACCGCTGGGATGTTTTGGGGGATGCTGAGGGGTTTCCGCTGGAAACTTCCCACACTCAGAGCAAGACACCTTGGCACGAACTGATCCCAGGGTGATCTGCCTTTCTTCAGCTGTCATCCCGCTCCTAATTCCCACACAAAAATGCACACAGATTTCTTGCCCATTTGTCGTCCCCCTCCCCATCATGCCTCCTCCCAATCCTTTGATGGCAGGACACCAGCACGGCACCGAGGTGAAGATGGTTTTAGAATAGAATAAGAATAGAATAGAGTAGAATAGAATAGGAATACAGAATAGGAATATAGAATAGAATAGAATAGAATATGGAATGGAAAGTAATAGCATAGAATAAAATAGAATAGAATAGGAATACAGAATAGAATAGAATAGAATATGGAATGGAAAGTAATAGCATAGAATAAAATAGAATAGAATAGAAATACAGAATAGGAATAGGAATACAGAATAGGAATATAGAATAGAATAGAATAGTGCTGGAAGGGACCTTGGAGGTCTTCTAGTCCAGCCCCCTGCTCGAGCAGGAGAACCTATACTATTTCAGACAAGTGACTGTCCAGTCTCTTCTTAAAAGCCTCCAGTGATGGAGCGCCCACGACTTCTGGTGGCAAGCTGTCCACTTAAGCTTGTAGGACTGGAAGGGACCTTGGAGGTCTTCTAGTCCAACCCTGTCCCCAAGGCAAGAGACGTAAGGAGTCGTTAAGGCAAGGACTACCTCTAATTAGAAGGATTCCTTCCGAGTTTGCACATGGTGACTTCCCAGTCTTTTATTTTTTTTTAAATCCCGCCTCTTTTAAACCTTCCGCCCTCTTCTTCCGCCCAGGTCTCCGTGCTGACGGGCATCATCAAGATCAGCCTGAAGACCTTCCTGGAGTGCGTCCGCCTGCGCACCTTCGGCCGCTTCGGCCTGCAGCAGATCCAGGTAGACTGCTACTACTTGCAGCTCTACCTCTGGCGCTTCGTTTCGGACGAGAACCTGGTGCACTTTTTGCTGGACGAAATCGTGGGCAGCACGGCTCACCGGTGCCTCGATCCCGTGCCCATGGAGCAGAGCGTGATCGAGGTCATTTGCGAGCGCGGATAGAGCGGAGAGAGGAATGATAGTGAGAAAAATCTTAATTTGGATCCTCTGGAACAAGGTTTCTCCAGCTGGGGAACTTTAAGTGGTCTGGACTTCAACTCCCAGAATGCCCCAGCCAGCTATGCTGGCTGGGGCATTCTGGGAGTTGAAATCCAGACCACTTAAAGTTCCCCAGCTCTCTATCTTAAAGTTCCCAACTCTGTTCAGCAAAGGAGCTTCTGAAAACCTCAAGAGACAACATTTTCTCTTTCTACTGTATGCGAAGCGATGTAGGGAAAACTTCAACGGTGGGAAAATTCTGATAAATAAAGCGTAATTTAATTCTCTGCTGCCTTCGGAAGACTGGATTGATGATTGCAAGCCAGCTGCTCCCCACACCATTCATAAAACTGCGATTCGGAGTAAATAAAACCCTTGGCCCCCCTCTCTGATTTTCACAAGGTATCCTCGCCTGCAGTAGCCCATTTCAACGGGTGCAGAGGTAAAAGATTTGCAAGGTCAATTATTCGGAGGAAGCCCCACACGATCAGTTACAGATAGTCCTCGACTTACAACAGTTCATTTAGTGACCATTCAAAGTTACAACGGCACTCAAAAAAGTGACCTAGGGTGATTTTTCACCCTTATGACCACTGCAGCGTCCCCGTTGGTCATGTGATTTACATTTGGATGCTTGACAACGGATTCGTATTTATGGTGGTTTGCAGTGTCCCGGGGTCACTTTTGCGACCTTCTGACAAGCAAAGTCAAGGGGGGAGCTGGATTCACTTCACAACTGTGTTACTAACTTAACAACTGCAGTGAGTCACTGAACAGCTGTGGCAGGGAAAGTTGTAAAGTGGGGCAAAACTCACATTTCTCATTTAGCAATATAAACAAACCCTCCCTGTGTCAGAATCCAATTATATTTCATTTCTAGCTACCGACTCTGAAAAAAGACCCATTTCTTACTCTTTGTGGATTCTGTCATACTACGAAAGGGGAGGAGGGAGCAAGGGGGTTTATGACTCTCACTTCCTTCATTTAAACTACAAAGGACTGGATGTGATTCTTATCAAGAGGACTGACCATCTACTCTCTCTCTGAAGTCTCCCTTCTGCTGGCCGTGAGGAAAAGGGGGTGGAAATGTAACGCCTGGGATCCTCGCTGGAAGGACGGTGGGGTGGGGGCTGCTTGGGAACACTTAAAACCTTGGATGGTAGGGGTTGGCCCCTCAGATCCTGTCTAGAACGCCTGCAACCATCTTCTCTTAATAAAGATGCCTGTTGGAAGAAATATTCCAAGAGTTCTGTCTTCTTAAGATGTAAAGTGGGGTGGGTCCTTACACCCTGTTTGGAATCCTGCCGGCTTGCTCAGCTTATTCCTATTAAACCAGCGAACCATTTAAGCCCAGTTTAGCTTGCCCTGAAAACCCAACCCGTGTCCGTTAATTTTGACTTCAGTGATGCTGAGATCTTACTTATTTATTAAATTTGCACACCCCACATCTTCCCTAGAAGGGGAAATTCGGCCTTGTGCATTAGGTTGCACCCAACAGACTCACCTCAACCGAGAAACCTTCCTCCTACTCCTGCCCAGTTCATTGTTTTGTGATTTCACTTCCATCTGATTTTGTCCTGAAAAGGAGATTTCTTCTGCAACCTTCTGCCCAGACTCATGGTTCCTATCTACAAGTAGTCCTTGACTTAACAACCATTGCTTTAACAACTTTTCAAAGTTACAACGTTGCTGAAAAAAGATGACTGATGACCCAGTCCTCACAACCGTGGCAGCATCCTCACCCACAATCATGTGGTCAAAATCCAGACACGTATTTGCAATGCCAAGAGAGTCCAAGGGTCGCCTGCTCACCCTATGTGACCTCCCCAGCCAGTTTCTGACGGTCAAAGTCAATGGGGGAAGCCTGATTTCCTTAAACAACCATGTGATTCACTTATTAACAGTGGCAAAAATAAATAAATCATAAACTTGTGTGTGGCTCACTTAACAACTGCCTTGCTTAGCAATGGAAGTACCGGCCCCAATTGTCATAAGTTGAAGAGTACCTGTAATTTATGCACGTAGCCAGAGTTTGAGGGGCTTTTCATGCACCATCAACCTCATTAAGCTCCTTGCTTCCAATGTGGATTTGCTTTACCAGTCCTATCCATAAGATAGTCCTCGAATTACAACAGTTCATTTAGTGACCGTTCAAAGTTACAACAGCACTGAAAAAAGGGACTTAGGACCGTTTTTCACATGACCGTTGCAGCATCCCCAGGATCACGCGATCAAAATTCAAAGAGGCTTGGCAACTGACTCACATTTATGACCATTGCAGTGTCCCAAGGTCACGTAGTCCCCTTTTGTGACCTGACAAAGTCAATGTGGAAGCCCGATTCACTTGACAACCCTGTGACTGATTTAACAACTGCAGTGATTTGCTTAACAACTGTGGCAAGAAAGTTCGTAAAGTGGGGTTCACTTAACCAATGTTTCACTTCGCAACAAAAAAATTGGTGGTTGTAATTCGAGGTATAGGTTTTCCTGCTTGAACAGGGGGCTGGACTAGAAGACCTCCAAGGCCCCTTCCAGCTCTATTCGACTATCTGTCCTCGCCCTTTTCCACAAGCTGTGGCCCTCCCAAATGTGCCTCTGGCAACAGATGGAGGGAGGTTGCAGCTGGGCAACACTGTGAAGGCATCCTGCGGGGTCAAAAAGAGTGGTGGAGACCGTCTGTCTCTTTGGGGGCATGGGAGGCTTCTAACCTGCACATCCATCCTCCATTGTGACACAACCATGATTTACTTAACCACTGTAGTGATTCGCTCGACAACCGTGGCTGACCATAACTGACCAGAGAGTTTGCTTTGTAGGGACACCCGTGCATTTAACGGTCAATCTCACGTGAAGCATGCAATCTTAAGAGGAAACGATAATATCTTGAATAAATGTTGCAGAAACCAACTTCCTCCAGAGCTGAAGGGTGCATCTCTCTGAAACAAGGTCCTGGTTGCTTAAAATGTCCCACTTTACCCAATAATGGAAAGTCAATCGGCCTCTGTTTGCCCCTCAACGTGACTCATGGTTTTATTTGAGCTCTTTCTAAAGGTCGGTTGACCTGGGGAGACCTGCCGGAGGAGTACAGAGTGTGTGTGTGTGTGTGTGTGGAGAAACAATCACGAAATGCTGGGGGGGTGTGTGTGTGATGGTGCAGAATTTCTCTGCCACTTCCCTGTTGTGCAACTCTTCACGTTTTGTCCACAGTCACCTCTGACGTGGGGTTGGGAAGGATGGGTGGTTCCAGTGGCATTTATATGGGACAGTGCCAGTGCCAACCGCACACACACCAAAGAGAGACCTACACTTGCCACCCAAAGCAGGAGGATTTGTTTCGTTCCACACGACAGTATGGCTGTGTCCTTCCAGCGGTGGCCCCCGTGGAGGATTCAGAAAGGTGAGTCCCATAACGGGGTGGTGGTGGTAAAAGTTGAAATTCAGCATTGCTTTTAAAGTTGGGAGACGCTACATATTATACTAACTAAAATTTGGCTGACCGCTTTGTGGTTTAATAGTGTCAACCCACCCAGGAGGGTTTGTACACAATGGCTTATCAGGTAGGACCCCCACCAACTGTATTGGATTCAAGACATTGTGGATGAACAAACTATCAATGAAGGAGAATCTTTGTAGCTCAGGGTTGAAATGAGGGGTCCTTGGTGCTCTCTGAGCTGGGTTGTTTCCTTGCAGACATTTCATGACCCAACTAGGTAACGTCATCAGTGCTAGTGTGGAGTGCTGTTTGCTGTCAGTTTATATTCTGGTGTCTTGCCTGTCTGGGTGGGAGGGGGGTCTTAGCGATTCTTTGGTTGGGCTGTTTACTAATGTCTCTGTGGCAGTTTCTTGATTGGAGTATTGCTTACTTGATTAGTCTGAAGGTGACCTTGGAGTTAAACTATGCTGATCTAGGTGTGGATTCCTGGTGAAGTGGTGCTGGAGTGCTGAACAAACTATGACTTAATGTAATGTGTAATGCCAGAGGTCTGTAGATTTTACATGAGTTAGAAAAGAGTGGAAAATTACTAAAAATGTTTAAGTTGAAGAGAACATGTAGCTCATTGCCTACATGTACACAGTACTTGATTACTGTGCCAATTTATACTGCACTGGTGAGACCACACTTGGAATTCAGCATTCAGTTTCGTTCTTCGTGGTATAAAAATGATATTGAGACTCTGGAAAGAGTGCAGAGAAGAGCAACAAAGAGGATTGGGGAACTGGAGGCTAAAACATATGAAGAACGGTTGCAAAAATTGGGTTTGTCTATAGTGAAAAAAAGGACCAGGAGAGACATGATAGCAGTGGTCCAATATTTGAGGGGCTGCCACAAAGAAGAGGGAGTCAAGCTATTCTCCAAAGCACCAGAAGGCAGGACAAGAAGCAACAGATGGAAGCTAATCAAGGAGACAAGCAACCTAGAACTAAGAAAAAAATTCCTGACAGAACAATTAATCAGTCAGACGGCTTCCCTCCAGAAGATGTGGGTGTTCCAACACCAGAGTTTTTTTAAAAAACAAAGATTCAGCATCCATTTGTCTGAAATAGTATAGGGTCTCCTGCTAGAGCAGAGAGTTAGATTACAAAACCTCCAGGATGTCTTCCAACTTTATTATTCTGTATTCTGTATGTGCACAATAACATTGAACCACAAAGGAACCAAATGGTTAATAAAATAGCAATTTTTACAGCCCTCTCTAAGCGGTTTACAGAGTCAGCATTTTGCCCCCAACAATCTGGGACCTCGGAAGGATGGAAGGCGGAATCAACCTTGAGCCAGTGAGACTTGAACTGCCGATAGTCGGCAGTCAGCAGAAATAGCCTGCAGTACTGCATTCTAACCACTGCACCACAACGGCTGAAAACACACTGAATTAAAAAAAAAAAAGCCAGTTTAATGCTAACCAAGTTTAACATTCTATGTGAATGCTAAGTTTTAGCTGACTTGGTTTGTGAAGATAAACTCTCACCAAAAGGGGAGCCAATATATATGTTCCACAGGCCTCATTTAGTGAAATTAGAAACACACAGAGGGCGTTCCTTTAATGGTGGAGTTTAAATGTTCATCCTTCTTCAGATTCTAGCATATCCAATTCACAATTCTGCCAAAGTGGCTAAGAAAGGCTGGCTAGCTGATATAGAACATGGTTTATCCCAAATGATAACTCGTTTAACCATCATTTTGTGAAGTGGCCACCAAAGTCTGGATTCGCACATTACACTATGCTAAACCCAAATCAGCTTGTTTTTCTAAAGCACTAAGCCAAAATGAAAAAAACCCAAGTCATCACTTTCCCTTTGCACTGACAAATGTATGATGAGTTTATCCATGTTTATTAATATGCACCACTACCAGATAGTTCAGGGGTCTTCAAACATGGCACTTTTAAGACCTTGTGGACTTCAACTCCCAGAATTCCTCAGCCCTCATGGCTGGTTGAGGAATTCTGGGAGTTGAAGTCCACAGGTCTTACTCCTAAGCTAGCTGGTTGGCCCTTCTGACCTCTTCCACAGTGTAGTAAGAATGCACCCCCCCCCAATCCCTTCCCTGTACCCTTAAAGACACAGGAATCAAGTGCAAAGCAAGAAAATAAAGAAACACAAACTCCATTTTTTTTTCTTTAATTTGCCTCAGGCGTGTCACGCGTCACAATGTTGCAATCGGAGACTGAAAGGCTCCAGCAATTGCGAAAAGCTTTAGCTTTAAATTAAGTCGGTTTACCTTCAAAGAAAACTTTCTAAAAGCCAGACAGACTCAATTAAAGGGGGAAAAACTAATTACATTTGTTTAAAGGGATTAAACCTTTCCTGATGTCTTTTTTCCCCTCCCCCCACCCAAACCACGTTATTTTATAGCAGTGGTTCTCAACCTGTGGGTCGGGACCCCATTTGGGGTCGATCGACCATTTCATGGGGGTCGCCAAGCAAGGCTGTCCGCCATTTTTTTTGTCCGCCATTTTTTTCCCCTTTTCCNGCGGGTGCCTTACCTCCCTTGGGCTGGGCCAGCTGGTGGTCGGCCTGCTCCGTCTCTGCCGCTTGCCAGCTACGCCTCGGCCGGCGCAAGGGGCGGAACCACGCATGTGCGGCGCTCCCGGGCAGGGAAAGTCCTCGACTTATGACCGGTTAGGTAGTCCTCAACTTACGACCGGTTTAGTCCTCGACTTACGACCAGTTTAGTCCTCAACTTACGACCGGTTTAGTCCTCGACTTACGACCGGTTGGGGTCACGGCATTAAAAAGGTTGAGAACCACTGTTTTATAGCTTCTCCTCTCTTCCCCCTTTTCTTCAGTTCACCTCCAGCTCCCAGCTGCTTCTGGAAGTGCCAATCAGCTGGAGCCCTGCCGGCTCCTGGGGCTTCTGCGGAGCCCAGACAGTCCTGCAGCTGCCTCTCCCCCAGGCTTGGCCCGCTTGGGCTCATTCCCCTCCCCTGCTGCACTTGGCTAGCAGTCACGTAGCAAAGTACCATAAGTGGTCACCGGTTGAAAATCCCTGACTTAGACACCCATCTAAACCAAGTTATTTATTTATTGTTAAGTTGAATAAGGTGTCCTGCTTTGGGCAGGGGGTTGGGCTAGATTTCTGAGGTCCCTTCCATCCCTAAGATTCTATGATTCCAACACATAAGACCGGTGTTTCTCAACCTTGGCCACTTTAAAACATGTGGACTTCAACTCCCAGAACTGAAGTCTTAAAACGGCCAAGGTTGAGAAACACTGTATTGGACACTAATCCCGTGTTGTTGAGTTGCATGGTCCGCCCACAAGCCCTGTGAGCAATGGTTAAGGCTCCACCTGACCAGTTGATTCCTAGAAAGAGCAATTTTATCAGTGGCAATAAGGCTAGGAAGCTAATCAACCCTTTCCTTTCTCTTCATTTCAGTCTCCCTCAGCACAATCCTGTTCGTCTCGGTAGCCTTGAGTTCTGCCACCGATGCGTTTTCCCGATGCTCCACTAGCAAAATCAAGAACCGGATGGTGGCCAACTGCCAAGCCCAAGGCCACAAGGCCATCCCCAACGTGCACGTGTCCACTCAAGTCCTCTTGTTGAATTTTAACCTCCTCTCCACCATCCAGATGTCTTCCTTCCCACGGATGAGTGCCTTGAAGATGCTGTCATTGGGGATACAATCGGGAGGCCCTCTCTATGTTGGAGAGAGGGCCTTTGCAAATGTGTCCAACATCACTTTCCTAGATTTGGGGGGCAACGGGAACGTGTCACTGCACCCCAACGCATTCCAGGGTTTGACCCAACTCAAGACATTACTCTTGGATGTTAATGGTTTTGACCACAGAATCCTGGAGAAGGGCTATTTCCAAGACCTTTCATCGCTGGAAGTCTTGGACCTTAAAGGAAACCACCTTGATCGGTTCAGACCAGATCCAACCTTCCAAGGACTGAAAAAATTAAGGGTCCTTCAGCTGAAACTCAACAAAATTCGGGCAATTTGTGGGGATGACCTCCAGTATCTCAGTGGGCGCCATCTGACTTTCCTTGACCTGTCCTCCAATCGATTGTCAAGCGATCCTTCTTGCAGCAACAACCCATTTCGCAACATCACCCTGGGCACCTTGGACATCTCTTCCAACCCATGGAACGTGTTGCGAGTTGAACAGTTCCTCAAAAGCCTGAATGGCACACAGATCCAGAACCTCAAGGTGCAACATTCAGGAGCTATTGGGAGTGGGTTCGGGTTCAAGAACTTGAAGGACATTTCAGCTACCACGTTCTCTGGGCTGCGTCACAGCCGTATCTGGACTTTTGACATGTCTCATGGTTTTCTCAATGTCCTGAACGCCTCTGTCTTCTCAAGCTTACCAGATCTCAACACCTTGCTCTTGAGATCCAACCAGATTAATAAGATTCAAAATGGGGCATTTTCAGGGTTAAATAAGCTCCAGGTCCTTGATTTGTCCGACAATCTTCTTGGAGAGCTGTACACAGAAGGACTGGAGGATTTGAAATCCTCTCCTCTGCAACGTCTCATTCTGAAGTCCAACCACATTGGAATTGTTCAGCATGATGCCCTGATGGGTCTAAAGTCTTTGCAATTTCTTGACCTGCAAGACAACGCTCTTGGCCGAGTTCCCAATGGGAATCTCCCTTCCTTGCTGCAGCTTAATTTGGGGCAAAACAGGATCCAGGATACCTGGGGCATACAAAAACTTGGCCCAAATCTGATCCATCTTGATCTCTCTTCCAACCGTCTAACGGACCTGGCAAACGTCTGGCATCAACTCGCCGAGATTCCCCACTTGAAGTTCCTGAATCTCTCCAGCAACCACCTGGCAAGTTGTTCACGAGTTGAGAACTCTCCGAGGCCACTAACACAACTGGACCTTTCTCACAACGATCTGGGAAACATTTGGGCCACCCAGAAATGCACGGACCTCTTCCAGGATTTGGAGAAACTGCTGGTGCTGAATCTCAGCTCCAATCACCTGCGCGACTTGCCTGGAAATCTTTTCCACGGTTTGGCGTCTTTAGAAATCCTGGATCTCGGGGCCAACATGTTGTACAAACTTCCAGATCAGATTTTCTCTAGTTTGAAATCCCTGCATGCTCTCAGCGTCCGTGGAAATCCGTTGCTGACGCTCTCACCTTCCTCGTTTCAACCAGCGAGGCAGTTGCGATTCCTGGATTTGAGGGAATTGTCTCTAGTTTGCAGTTGTGACCTCAAAGGTTTCCAGAACTGGCTACAGAACCAAAACGCGATGGTCAGGGCATTTGAGCTTCTTCTGACTTGCGTTCAGACCAGCTTTGATTTCCAGAGGCAGCCCCTGCCTCAGTTCCTGCGCAACAACTGTGTCTCTTAGCCAATGGACACATTTTCCCTCTGTGTGCACCTAGTTTTGGAGGAAAGGAAGCTGGAACAAAATGTCTACGATGCCCCTTCTTCCTGGGACTACAACTCACAGAATTCCCGGCCAGCAAAAAGTTAGGGGGCCGGCAGGACTTTTTCCCTTTCCTGGAAATCTAACAGTGAAAACAATTTGGCTGGAAAAGAGGAATTGTAATTGCAATAAAAGTAGTTCTCAACTTATGACTTTTGAGACCCAAATTTTGCTAAGCAAGTCGGTTAAGTGAGTTTTGCCCCATTTTACGACTTTTCTTGCCAGTTAAGTGAGTCATAGCAGTAACACGGTTGTTAAGTGAAATCTGGTTTCCCCCATTGACTTTGCTCATCAGAATGTTGCAAAAGGGGATCACATGACCCAGGGATACTGAAGCCATCATAAATACGAGCCAGTTGCCAAGTGTCTGAAGTTTGATCATGTGACCATTGGGATACACCAATGGTCTTGTGAAAGACAGTCATAAGTCACTTTTTCAATGCCATTGTAACTTTGAACAGTCACTAAATTAACTATTGTTAAGTCGAGAACTACTGTACAGGATATGTATAAACCATCACGCTGGGAAAGTTTATTGTAATGTTAGTAAATGTGAAAAAATAGAGGTGGATTCATAATTTGTCTATACTGCCACTGTCTGAGCTGAGCTTGTATGTTTGTAAATAAACTAACAGTGTAGAAAATAAAATTCTGCCTAATAACTTCTTTCAAAGGAAATAAAACCAAGTTTGATTGCCAATCTTGGAAATTTTAAATAGGCATGAAATGAAGGGGAGAAGAATTCTTAAAACTGACCTGTGGTGCTACCTGCTATTGGCTGTATTCACACAAGGACGAACTCCCAGATATTGCTGAGACAGGCTTTATCATTCGACTCTGGGAACGCTGACGCTGGCCTTGTACGACCACGTGGGGAATAAAAAAAATGGCAGCCCCTGGATCAGCGGTTCTCAAACTTCCTCACAAGATGGTGCCCTTAGTGTCGCTGAAGTATGACACTGCAAACAGATCTGCAACAAAATTTAGACTATGCTGCAATGCCGGTCAGTTTGTTGTGCTCCTCTAGGTTAGTCCGTGTTCCTCCAGGTTAGTTAGTCTGAGCCTTCTTTGTAAGGTCAACGAATTGATCTTTGTGATTTGTCCCTTTTTCTTATTTTTAAAAATAAACATAAATTAACAGGTAGTCCTCGAGTTAAGACTGGTCACTTAGTGAGGATAAAGGGTCTGGAGATTAAATGGAGGTTTTTAAGAAGAGGTGGGACAACCTTTGATTGGGATAATATAAGGTCTGCTGCCTTGGGCAGAGGGTAGGACTAGATGATCTCCAAGATCCCTTCCAACCATAGGATTCTATGACTCTAAGGCTACTCCTTTCTTTATATTTTCCCTGCTGCTTAAATAAAACATAGAAAGGGACCTTGGAGGTCCTTCTGGTCCAACCCTCTCCAAATTCACGCTGTGATCCACCCATTCAGGACAATTTTAAAGGTGTGTCTTTAAAGTCCACTTGTTCAGTGACTGCGTTTAAAATGCAAACATTCACTCAGTTTTGCAGTAAAATTGAGAAGCAAGAAAACGCCTTAAGGCAGGAACAGAAATCTCCAATGGAGCCAGGTCAGCTGAAGAGTACAAAAAGAACTCCCAAATATACTGTGTATATTTTATTTTATGCAAAGTTTTGACACCAGTATCCAACGGATTTACCCCTAAGGCCAATCCCACGGGTTTAGCTCAGCTCACTCAGTAGGTACATAAATTGCAAGTGTCCTCCTGTTCGGTTCAGAGTTGAGCATTTGTTAATTGGAACAACCCTGAACTGCATTTAATTCAGACAAGAAATGTATTGAAGTTATCAATTTGCTAAGTGAAATGTGCAGCACAGTTTACTCATTTCTAGAGGATTCTCTGTGTTATTCCAACACACCGTTGGCCAATTCTTCTGTTTCCTCATGTGCTTTCTTTTGAACGGTTAGCAAGGAAGAACGGTTTTCCTTCTGAAATATATTCAACAACATCCCTGTGGGGGGAAAAGCATAATGCAGAAATTTAGACATATAATTCAAGCTATGAAAAAAAAAAAAAGGACAGAGCAGTATCGATGCCCAGATGCTGATTTCAGCTCACAGTTTTGCATTCTACGTATTTCACGCAAATAGCCAGGATCTTCAAACACTGGAACAGTCGCATTTGTTGCTCTTTAGAATGTGTGGCCCCGCAAAATTCAATCGTGCCACAGATGGCCAACCCACCTAAAGACACTCTTGAGTGAAGAAAGGCCATGTTAGTATCTGATGACATAAAATCCCACTGTTTGAAGCTTGCAGCAGTGAGAGGAACAGTCATCAAGCATTTATAAAACCTTTGGACTGCTTAAACCAGTGGTTCTCAACCTGTGGGTCGGGACCCCATTTGGGGTCGATCGACCATTTCATGGGGGTCGCCAAGCAAGGCTGTCCACCATTTTTTTTGTCCGCCATTTTTTCCCCCCCTTTTCCGGCGGGTGCCTTACCTCCCTTGGGCTGGGCCAGCTGGTGGTCGGCCTGCTCCGTCTCTGCCGCTTGCCAGCTACGCCTCGGCCGGCGCAGGGGGCGGAACCACGCATGCGCGGCGCTCCCGGGCAGGGAAAGTCCTCGACTTACGACCGGTTGGGTAGTCCTCGACTTACGACCGGTTTAGTCCTCAACTTACGACCGGTTGGGGTCACGGCATTAAAAAGGCTGAGAACCACTGGCTTAAACGATGAAAACGCGGATACCCATCACGCCCGTCTCTTCTTCCCCTCTCCTGCGCATTGTGCCTTCTTAGATTGTGAGCATGAATATTTTACTGGAATACCACTAGGTGAAGACATTGATAAAACTTAAGTAAGATCCTGTAGTTGTCGGAGAAGAACTCTATATTTAACAAACAGAGGTTATATAATTGGTCCTTTTTTTCGTAGTTGTGAATGTAATAATTTCACCCCCCTTTACTACCAAAAGTGGGTTAAGAACAACCTTAGAAGTTAGGACATTTTTTTTTTCAGCAATTCTTGGGGTTAGCAACCAAATACTTTGACCTATTGGCAGTAAAAAGTCTGTAATACAGAAACCGTTCTTGTCTTCTCTCTTTTATTGTCAAAGGTAGTTCAGAGTGAGAAACTTTCCATTTGAAAGGAGAATACTTGTAGCACAGGGTTGAGATGAGGGCTTCTTGGTGGTCTCAGACAGCTCCAAGGACCCCTCATTTTCAATTTTGTTTCTATACTGCAAAACCAAAGTTGGGTCAAGGATACAGAATCAGTCCTCGGGTTACAACCACAATTGAGCCCAAAGTTTTTGTCACTAAAGGCAACTGATGAGTTTTGCCCCATTTTATGACCTTTTTGCCACAGTGGTTAAGTGACTCATGCAGTCCTTAAGCAAATCTGGCTTCCCGCGTTGACCTTGCTTGTTGGAAACCAGCTGGGAAAGTCGCAAAAGGTGATCATGTGACAATGGGACAACCCTCATAAATACAGACCAGTTGCCTAGCGCTGCGAAGGTTGCAAGTGTGAAAATTGGTCGTAAGTCACCTTTTTGAGTGCTGATGTAACTGAGAATGGTCACTAAGCAAATGGTTGTTCATTTGAAGACTACCTGTTCAGGAACAATCCATGATCTTGTACATAGGAAGAATACAGAATACAGAGTAACAAGAGTTGGAAGGGACCTTGTAGGTCATCTAGTCCAACCCCCTTGCCCAAGAAGCAGGAGACCCTATGCCATTTCAGACAAATGGCTGTCCAGTCTCTTCTTAAAAAGTTTCAGTGTTGGAGCACTCACAACTTCTGGAGGCAGGTTGTTCCACTGGTTAATTGTTCTCACGGTCAGGAAGTTTCTCCTTAGTTCTAGGATCAGTTTCTATCCGTTGTTCCTTGTCAGGCCTTTGGGTGTCAGGCCTTTGGAAAACAGGTTGACCCCCTCCTCTCTGTGGCAGCCCCTCAAATATTGGAATACTAACAGGTCACTCCTGATCCTTCTCTTCACTAGACTAGCCATGCCCAGTTCTTGCAACCGTTCTTCATCATGGTTTAGCCTCCAATCCCCTAATCATCTCCGTTGCTTTTTTCTGCACTCTTTCCAGAGCCTCCACTCCTTTCTACAATATTGTGACTAAAACTGGATGCAGTACTTCAGGTTGGCCTTACTAAGGCTTTATAGAGCGGTACTAATACCTCACGTGATCTTGATTTAATCCCTCAGATAGTGCAACTTAGGATTGCACTGATCACCATACAGCAAAGATGGGACTTTATTGATTTAATCTCCTTGCAGGAAAAAAGGAAAAGGCAGCCCACCTCTCAAGCACAGGTAAATCCAGTTCCAATGGCCAGGACCCCCGCCCCCCCCACCCCAAGTCAAATGGCCCCATTGTGGATGCTTGGCAACTGGCTCACATTTTTGGCCATTTGCTGTGTCCCAGTCACCTGACCACAATTTACATGTTTGCCGAACTAGTGTTTACTTGTTTTTTGACAAAAATGCCACAGCAAACATGGGTTCACTTAACAACCAACACACACACACACACACAGTTGTTTTAAAATTGGGTTGGTTACGTGAGTGACCCTCTTTACAATTGTCACAACTTAAAATGGCAATGAGTCGATTCCATTATGGTCCAGGGCTCCTGTTTGTGGGAAACCCCCCAAGATGGGATATGTAGTCTTAAGCATCCAAAGTCCTTGGTCAGTGTTCCATTTGCTATATATACAGGTAGTCCTCGACTTACGACAATTGAGCCCCAAAATTTCCGTTGCTAAGTGAGACACTTAAGTGAGTTTTGCCCAATTTTACATTTCTTGCCCCAGTTGTTAAGTGAATCACTTAAGTTATTAAGCTAGTGACACGGTTGTTAAGTGAATCTGGCTTTCCCCTTGACAAGCCAGGTCGCCAAAGGGGATCACGTCGCCCCGGGACCCTGCAACCGTCATGAACATGAATCGGCTACTAAGCGTCTTGCTTCTGATCAGGTGACAATGAGGATGTGGCAACACTTTTTTCAGTGCCGTTGTAACTCTGAACGGTCACTAAATGAACTGTTTATAAGTCCAGGACCACCTGTCACTCATTTCGCTCAAGAGGGATGCATTCAAGAGTTAACACCATCTCTGTGAAGACAGCTGTGTGCAAACCGGCTCTGCTCAGGGCATGTTTCTAATCATGGTTTATTATCAGGTGAAACACGGACAGAACATGCAGTTCATCATAGCAGAAAATCCTATTAATATTTCCAAGTCAAAAAAACAAACAAACCCCAGAAACCAGTAAAAAACCAAGATACCTTTTTCCGTCCTCGTCATAGCGACTTCCAGGATTCCTTCAGCCCCTCTTGCGATGCAGCTGCTCCCTCAAGACCAGGCAGCCCTCAATGCTCTGGAGAAGAGACCGGATATCAGAAAACACCTTCGCTCGATTAGAATCTCCATGCCGCCTAAAAAGGACTGTACGGCACTCAAGACATGGGGTGGGGGGGGGATGAAATTCTGCTTTGGGTTTTTCTAATTAATTTATTATTACAGAATTTGCTAAGTATTTACTAAGAAAAAAGTTGAGGCTGTTAATGTCAACGCTGCAAATACTGTATATTCTTGCTTTGACAATGTGCAGAACTGTCTGGTATATATATAGTTAAACCAGCAACTAGGAAAGAGGGAGGAGCATAAGGATAGCCCGGGAGAAAGAAACCGGAAGTAAATCACATCTTTCAAGTTGATTGGAAGATGTGAACCATGACCCTACAATAAGGGAGTGGACAATGT